GTGGGGGTCCCTCTCGAGTCGCTTGAGACGGAACGCTTCGCATCGGTAGCGGCCCGCCGGGGGGTCAGCCGCTAGCTTCGGCACAGTATGAGTGAGTGAGTACACACGCACACGCACTGTCGCACATTATTTTCCATCTGAGGCTGGAAAGGGGGGTTTTGGTGTTTTTTGTATGGCCGCCTTGCGCCGAGCCGTCGCTCCGCGTCGTGTGTTTGGGTGTGTGCTCATATGGGTCCCGGCGCTCCGTCCGTCGCCGTGGTCGGCGGTCCAGAGTCGGGGTCGGGGTCGGGGGTCGGGGGTCGGGGGGTCGGGGGGTCGGGAGTCGGAGGAGGGAGGTTCGTGTCATGTCTCATGAGATGAACGGCCGCGCGTGCCCCGGCATGCCGGCTTACTAAGAATGTCCCTCGCTCCGGCTCCTCTCCCGGAAGACGCGCGCCGGCCTGGGGGACTCGCTTGCGATCCCGTTCCAGCCAGAGGCCGCGTGAGGCGTGTGGGACGGTGCACGCTGGGGCTCGGCCCCAAGTGCGCTGGCCTCGCGTCTCGAGGGGAGGGCGGCTCGTAACTGAGGTCCGCCTGCGGAGACAGTCGTCCTCCCCTCCCTCCGACGTCCTCTACGAGGGGGGGACTCCGAACGGCCGAGCGTGCCCTCGCATGCCGGACAACTAGGTAGGTCATAGACTCCCCCCCTCTCCGAGGGCAGAGGCTGCCGCCTCTCGGATACTCGGCCATTCCAACGGCCAGGCCGCTCGCTTAAGGCTGATTGGCTAGACGAGCGGCCTACCTCCAACGGGGCGGTCTGCATCACGGGGGGTGACATCCTGCCTCCCGGCACGCCGGGAGGAGGTGGGTGCTCCGCCGCCGGACCGCCCTCTCCACCACCCTCGCCCAGGGATCTACAACGCTGTCTTAAGGTCCGACCTGTGGGCTCTGCCTGCGCTCGGCACCGGGCACCGCCTCGGTATACAAAATGCGCCTGCGGGCGGACCCTCACAGATCACAGATCACAGATCACGGCCTGGGCCCGACCCACCGGGTGCCACGCGGTTGGCACGAGCACGCTCTTTTAGATAGAGGTACACTTATGTCACCGAAGAAATGTTCCCTCTTGCCGCGCCAAGCACTACCTCTCATACGCCGAGGAGTCAACTCGGCTGGCTCAGGGCAAGCAGGTGCCGTATAGGGAGGGATGTGCGCCTCGCCGTATTTGTAGAGAGTATTCAAAGTACGAAGGTGTGGTGTCACACCGGTGGGGGGGAAAGACGCCAGCTGCGCCGAGTTGTGGTGTCACAACAGTAGAGAGGTCGACTGTCTCGCGGCGCGGCGGCCCCACGAGAAGCAGTCAGAGACAATGACGTGCCAAACTTGCACAACGGGAGTTGGGGAAGCGTGACGTGCCACTACTTGGGCGCCTGTTCGGCGCCCAAGATGTCTAATATTAGGGGTCTGGGTGGCAACGACGTGCCACTGCACAGGGTGTGGGAATATAGGGATATGGGGACACGGCGGACTATTCGTCACTCTGGAGAGAGAGAGAGCGAGGGAAGGAGAGAGAGAGAAGGAGAATAATAGGTGAAGCCTCTCGATGTAGGTCAGGCCACCGGTCCTCATGGGCGTCCTCGTGCCTCACCTCCTGCGACACCACCCACCTCGACGAGACCTTGCTAGACTACACCATGCGTCGCGACCCAAAGACCGGCCGCTTCGACGCTGACTCGCTCATCGTTCGCTTCACCGACAAGTGGGGAAGGGAGCACGAGCTCGTCTGCCTCGAGCCCAAGGACGGCGGTCGAACCTGCTTGTGCTACATCATTGACGGACACATGAAATGCCGGAGGCTGATCTGCGAGAACAGGCGATTCGAGCCGTGAATCAGGGAAGTGTCGCGGACTCGTCTCAACAAGCGTCCATGTTTCTGTAGGAACGCTCGAGTCGTCCACCTCGGTGCACTAGCCACCTACTGGTAGCCCCGCCCCTATACAGTATTCCGGTTTGCAATGTCCTCGTTCCTGTTTGCAATATCCTCGTTCGCGGCATCGGCTAAAGCCTCTCATCTGCGTAGACCGCGCGCGCAGCGCGCTCCGTGTTTGCAGACCGCCCTGGCGGACTCGTTTACACTTCCAAGCTCAGGCCAGGCGCCGCAGGCCGTAAAGAGGAGCGCAGATTAAAATGGCGCCGCAGGCTCCCCGGGCCCCAAATCTCAATCTCAAATCTCAATCTCAAATCTCAGACCCAATCTCCCGGGCCCCAAATCTCAATCTCAAATCTCAATCTCAAATCTCAGACCTCAGACCTCAATCTTCCTGCAGGTCAAACCCACCCAGCCCTTCTAGAAGCTTCGAGGCTCTTATCAGTATTCACACCGCAAATCTCCAAATCTCAGCTCTCAAATCTCTAGGTTGGAAGGCCGTCCAAATCTTCAGTCTCAAATCTTGGATCTCGAGCAAACTCGACCGCAGATTCCTTTTGGTGTGGGAAATCTCATTCTCCAAGTCTCTGGTCTCTAATCTCAAAGTATCCCACCGGAGGCCGAGTGACTGAGGTCTCAAGTCTCAAATCTCTGGTCTCAAATCTCTGGGTAGCACTGTAGACCCGAGTGGAGTCTTCAAATCTTTAAGCTCTCAATCTCTAAAGAAGACTAGAGATTTCCATTACCCCCCCCCCCCCCCAGACGTGAGGAGACGACAGACGGTCTACGGTCACGCACGCTGGTCCTCGACCTTCTTTGGCAGCAGCTGGTCCTGCTCGCCGCTGTGGCCCAGCTGGCCAAAGCCTCCATTGCCCCAGCTCCACACAGCGCCATCAGCGGTGGGCGCGAGGCTATGCATAACTCCAGCCGACACAGCGACGACGCGACGACCAGCAAAGGCCTCGAGCTTCTTCGGCAGCAGCTGGTCCTGCTCGCCGCCGTGGCCCAGCTGGCCGTGGCCTCCCAAGCCCCAGCTCCAGAGCCTGCCGCCGCCGGTGAGGGCGAAGCTGTGGATGCCTCCAGCCGACACAGCAACGACGCTTTGGCCAGCCATCGCCTCGACCTTCTTGGGCAGCAGCTGATCCTGCTGGTCGCCGTGGCCCAACCGGCCAAAGGCTCCATAGCCCCAGCTCCAGCCAACGCTGTCTGTGAGGGCGAGGCTGTGCCCGCCTCCCGCCGACACAGTGACGATGTGTTGCCCCGCCAACACCTCGATCATCTTCGGCAGCAGCTGGTTGTGCCCGTCGCCGTGGCCCAGCTGGCCAGAGGCTCCCCAGCCCCAGCTCCAGACACCACCGTCGGCGGTGATGGCGAGGCTGTAACCATCTCCAGCCGACACAGCGACGACGCGCTGGCCAGCCATCGCCTCGATCTTCTTGGGCAGCAGCTGGTACTGCTCATCGCCATGGCCCAGCTGGCCAGCGTAGCCACCGCCCCAGCTCCAGACGGCTTCGTCGGCGGTGATGGCGAGGCTGTGAGCCCCTCCAGCCGCCGCGGCAATGACGGTCTGGCCCGCCAAGGCCTCCACCTTCTTCGGCTGCAGCTGGTTGTGGCCGTCGCCGTGGCCCAGCTGGCCTTGCCATCCCAAGCCCCAGCTCCAGACGGCGCCGTCGGCGGTGAGGACGAGGCTGTGGCCATACCCAGCCGACACGCTCACGGCGCGCTCGCCGCCCAGCGTCGAGGGGAGGCGGGTTGGCGTGTTGAACCGCGTCACCCCCTCGCCGTGACCGAGGAGCCCTGGAACCTCCACTTCGTCGTCCTCGTCCTCCTCCTCGCCCTCCGCTACCTCACTGCCGCACGACGAGAGCCGCCCCTCGCCGTCGATGAAGAGGCTGTGCCGACTGCCTGCGGCCACCCTCGCCGGCGGGTTGGCCTCGCGCAGAAGCGCCGAATAGCACAGCCACCGCATGGCGCAGCTCTCGCCCTCGGGCTGCGCCGGCAGCTCGTAGCCGCGCTCTTGCGCCCGCAAGCGGATGCCCTCCCTAGCGAGCGAGGCGTGGAAGAGACGGGAGACGGCCGCGACGCGAGCGATGTCGACGGCCTCGCAGCGAGAGACGACGCGCACGAGGAGGTCCGTGGGGAGGTCGAGGAGGCGGGCGGGCGGCGGCGTGCTCGGCAAGGGAGCGGCGGGGGCGGCGGGGGCGAGGCGGCGCGAGCGGCGACGCGAGCGGCGCGGCGGGGTGGACATCGCGAGAAAAAGAATTTTAACCCGGATAAAAGAATTTTTACACGCGTGTCCGTTGTATTTATTTATTTATACACGCAACTCCATCGCGAGAAAAGATTTTTTCTCTCTCTTCGTCCCCCTCCCCCCCCCCCCCTCTTCT